GAATGTCGCAATCATTATTTGTGTTCCGTTGTTTTATTGATTGCCCAACGTTATGCCTAGTACATATATCGCTTTATACATACATTTGTATATTATACAAAATTAAAACAGGTACTATAAATATAAACTTTCAATGTATAAAAAAAAGGAAAGGAACATACAAATTAACAAATTTTAACTAAAGAAAATAAATAAATAAATACAAAACTTCAAATTTACTTAAAAACGTCAAGCAGCGAAATGTAATTTTTTTATTTTTCCTTACACACGCTCATTTTTATTTTTACTCTCCCGAAAACTTTGACTTTTGTAGGTTTGATGTCAATTTGGCTTCTACCTGTTTTTATTGTACCATGGGTTTTGGCATTTTCTACGGTGTCACTCATTTTCTTCCATACAAAGCAAGGTACATTGAACAGGTAGTATCAGTAGAGCAGCTGATTTGATTTATTTTCAAATTATTTGGTCTCGAAAATGTCAAATATTTTTAATTTTTTCTCACAAAAATTCTGAATTGTTAAAATCCATTTGCATGTGAAACCTTTTTCCATACAAAACAAGCGATTGAATAGCAGCTTTTGGAACGTTCGCCCAACTCAGCAGCACGACCGCTGATTACTGGGCCTTGCAAAGGATGGATCAATGCTTCGAGAAGCAAACAAATTTACTAGGAAAGAAAGTTGCATCAATTTTTATTTTTTCCAATTTCAATTTTTTATTTTTTATAATTTTTTGTATTTCACATGGCACGCTTTGATTTAGAAGAAAAAATTCAGAACAGTTTTTGACACTTTCGATACCAGAAGCAACAACAAAATACACGCAAATGTTGTTTTTGCTCTACTGATACTACCTGTTTAATGTGCCTTGATACAAAGTATGTTCGATTTTTTTTTGTGTGGAAGAAAATGAACACCACTGTCAACAAAAAAATAAAAAATCCCAAAAATCAACGGTAATATGTTTCGGTTTTATAATTATGCAACGGAGTGTACTGTTACCTTGTTTGACTTGTGGTTAGAGCAACTTTGAATTGTTTTTGCTTTTTTTTAACAATTGGGCAATTCACAAGGTGTCGTATTTGTCGTGTTTGTCGTGAAGTCATGATATTTCATGACAGTTGTAAAAATGTTGTTATTGTTTTGTGAAGAAAAATAACACATGACGATACAACTCTGCAACCTATGTTTATTCGGTGTTATGTGAGGTTAAGTGCTGAGATATAATAAATAATCGTAACAGGTGTTCACAACCGTCGTGTTTTAACACAACTTTTGTTAGGAATAATAACTTCACAACACCTTGTGAATTGCCCAAATGTTAACCTTTTCGTTATTTATGTGTTAAAATAAATATAAAGCAAACTTTTTGTACTTTCCGTACCTTACTTAACAGTATTCAGAAGAAACACATCGTACACAGAGCCTCCAACTTGGCTCAAACCGTGCCATTTTTGGCCGTATTTTACTTCAAATGGCACCTAATTTTCCAATTTGGCACTTTTGAAATCCTTTGTGTGTATTTCTTTTTGTCAACTAAAATTTTCTAATTTCTATTTATCTTACTTTTCATTGCACTTTTGACAGCTTTTTTGGCACTTTTATTTTTTTATTTGGCACATTTTGGCACTGCTTTATCCTCAATATGGCACTTCATAGCTAAGTATAGTTGGCAACCCTGATCGTTCTAACTGAAATTTTTTCGCCAGCGCTATAGTAGAAGTACCTATCTATGTACACTTTTAAGATGCATGCATATGAATTATGCGTGGCTTTTATTGTATCTCTGTATTTCCATAACTCCATGTGTGAGGAATAATGTATTTCTTAACAGAAGTGCTTAAAACTTAACAGTTTGGCAATTTAAAGACTGTTGAAGCTGATTTCCTTACTAGCGCCTGCAACTATACTTCTTATTTACCACCGCCGGCAGCTTTAACAATTTTATAGTGGTTTTCCGTTCTTTGGCAAATTACGCTCTGTTAGCCATAAATTTTACTATGTTTTGACCGCCTGGACCATATAGGGCATTGATTTATATTTTAAATTGCATTGTCATCGTGATTGGAACTATGCTGAAAGTCTCTACCTTGAGGGGAAGTTAGTTTAAAATCGCTTGGAAATTTCCGCGGGATGACCAAGTTAAATAAAAGCTTGTAAAAAAGCTTTCTTTAAGTTTGCTTGTTGGGATATTATATAAAGGGTTCTACAATAAGGGCGGGTAGATGTTGAACAATGTATGTATGAGTTACTAATGAAATATCGTTCAAATAAATGGTTATAAAAACGTTGATAAAAAGCTTTATTTTGAAAATTTTGAATGATGAATGATGAATTTTTAGTCAGTTTATATTCATACGCTTATAAGTGACCCTTTTTGAACCTTATTATAAGTTTATATTTATGCGCTTATAAAAAGCGGCCACTGTGGTGTAGTGGTATGCAGTGCGCGCTTCCACTCCGCAGCGCCTGGGTTCAAGCCCTGGTCAAAGCAACATCGCAAAAAAATTTAGAAAAAAGGTTTTTCTTAACAGCGGCCACCTTCTCATAAAAATACAATCGCCGTTCGAAGTCGGCGTACAACTGTAGGTCCCTCCACTTTGTGTGAAAACATCAAGGCGCACGCCACAAATCGGAGGAGAAGCTCGACCAAATACTAACATTTGTGTAAGCGCCAATCTATTACATAATTATTATTAAAAAGCCTTTTCTTGAACATTTGTTATAAGTTTATATTTATAAGCTTATAACCAAGGTTTCATTTCGATTATATTCCGCTTACTTTCAAGCGTTTTGTAAACAAAAAATCGACGTTTCGTAAGTTTAGTGTTTATAATTGTAAACTTAAAAAAGTTTTAAGTTTATTTTGCTGTTGGGTATTGCTGGCAAACGTCAGAATGCCTCTCAATTATCATGATACAATAATTTTTAGAAGGTAGTTTCACTTCAAAATTTTTGACATAAACCGTGTCTGTGACAAACGAGCAATGTGGCCACTGCTACGATATAGAACTTGGGGATTATCGCTTGTTATTTTAGATATTTTTTAACAGAACATGTAAAGATTTATATGTTTCATAACTGATCACTTAATTTTTAATATAAATATACCTATTTTATACATACATTTTTGCCACTGCTAATCACATGAATAAAAATCATAAAAATGAAAATATGACAGCAATATTTCTTGTTTATAATGGATTAGATCCATCGCACACCACGGACTTTATGGGCCGCCAATTTAGATGTGCTCGCTAGTCTTTCCATTGCACCACAACTTATTGGTCAGAGCGATTAAGCTGGTGTAATGTGCGCACCTCCATACATCTTCATGTACATATTTCAAGCGAGCCCTATCATTTAAATAGGCGGCCGATAAAGTCTGTGGTGTGCGGTGGCTCTTATAGCTGTGTCCTTACATCTATTCCGTGTGTTGCAATATCCACGAAAGCAGCAGTTAATTTTTTATGAAGAAAATTATTACAAAATATTCGAAAATTTCTCTACTTATATGTTTGGCTTTTCTTTCTTTTATTTTTCCAACATCAAAAGCTGGATTTTTTTTTTTGAAAAAGTTGGTACAACAAAAAATACGAAACACGTTTTCTGTCAGATAGCTAACATGGCGGATAAGAAGAAGAAGTGAAACTACCTTCTAAAAATTATTGTATCATGCTCAATTATTTTACCTTGTTATGTTTTTATCATGCAACAAAGTACAAATTTCAAACTAGACCAAAGTCTACTACCTAAACCTTATGGAGCATTTAGTTTCTCTACTGTAACGGAAGACGATGTGTTAAGAAGTATTTATTACATTAAATCGAATTCTATAGATGAGGACTTTATAACTTTAAAGTTTTTAAAAATGATTCTTCCATACATACTTCCAACCTTGACCCATATTTTAAACTTATTCTTCACTACTCTAATATTTCCGGATGCCTGGAATAACCCTGGCTACTCCTATTTCCCAAAGGCATAATGTTGCTTCACCATCGGATTTTCGTCCGATTAGCATCTTGTATTCGTTGTCAAAAGTCTTGGAAAAGCTAAGGATAAAGCAAATATTCAGTTATCTAGATAAAAATAAACTCCTCACATCGAATCTGTCTGGATATATGTAGAAGTGGTCACAGTTGTACCACAGCTATTCTGAAAGTAACTGAAGATTTAGGCTGGCATTTGATAGGGGTGATATAACTGTTTCATAGACTTTGTTAGACTTTTCCAACGCTTTTGACATGGTTGATCACAAAATACTTTTAGTTAAGCTAAACAAATATTTTGGATTTTCTGATGGTGTGGTAAAATTAATGGAAAATAACTTAGTAGCCCATGGCGGAATTATACCAGGCGAAGTAATTAGAGCGAGGAAAAAGATTTTGACACTGACTTGTTTATTGCGCCATGTTAGTAACCGTTGGAAAACGCTGTAGCTAAAAATAAGAGTTCGGAACTGAGGAAACTCTACTCAGGAGTTCCACAGGGGTCTATACTAGCACCAACTTTATTTAGTGTTTTCATGAACGACATCGTTAAATGCTGTAAAAACGTGTCTATCCATTTGTATGCCGATGATGCCCAAATCTACCTCTCTCTTCCAGTCAGGGTTGCCAACCGTACTATAATATGTAGTATTGTACTATTTTTTGGGTCTGCGTACTATATACTGTTGGAAAAAATATAGTATGCAAAAATACTATATTTCTTCAGTTACAAATATAAATATATTTCAGTATTTTTCAAGAAAGAAATGTTTTGAAATCGATGACATTTATACTGAAATAACAATATTAAAAGAAGTATACCTTAAAACAAACTGAACACAGATCAAAAATGGAAACATTATTAAAATATACTCAAATTCACAGTTTATACTGAAAATCTGTAGTTAACTGTGGATTCTGAGTTAACTACGCATTGTGAATTTGGCCCTTAGAAAGATTTACCAAATTTACTTAAAATTATTTCGCTCGGATACAAAATATACTCATATAAACTACACCTTAAGTAAAATTTTATTTCATATTAAGAAAGTTAAGGCACACGGCAGACTTTATACCACCAGACATAAAACTAGGCTTGGTGCGAACTTTTACAGTTCCGCTAATCTCTTATGATGAGCTTGTTTATGTTTATGTTTTTCACAGAAATGTGTGGACCGATGTATCAAGAATCTATATCATAGGCTTCGTATTTCCTGATTTAATTTTCTATATTCATTTTCCATTGTATTCCTCGTGGTTTCAATAATTTCATCTATGTGATTTCGACTATATCCAGCCGTATGGATTTCAGGTAGGATTTGTATAATGGCCTGGCCAGGGCGGAACGTTTTCCTTTCATCATTTAAAAAGTAGTATTTCGATATGACGACGGGTTGAATTGGGCATTGACTTTGCAGAGCAATGTGGAAGGGCCCTTTTTTGAAAGGTAACAAAGTCTCCGTTGTATTGCGCGTACCCTCAGGGAAAAATAAAAGCTTGCAATCACGTTCTCTGATTGCTCTAGACTCCTTCTGTAAAGCATTGATAGAGTCTTTCTTGCTTGCGCGATTAATAAAAAGCGTCCCCCATAACCAAGCTCCAAAACCAAAAAAAGGGAACAAAAGAACTTCCTTTTTCGATACTACAGTTGCCCGTCCAATTACTGGCCATAAATACGCTAACCCTAGGAAAATATGTCAGTATTTCCAGATTAGTCAATATAATATTTTTACCACATAAGTCGATGAAGCTTTGATGATTAATCAGTACAACAGCCCCTTGTTCGATGTGAATATTTTCAAGACCTCGCACTGTCATTGTAACACCTAGTGCTTTGCAAAGTTGTCGGCAACCCCAGGCTGGTATGCTGTTACGATAAATGGTAGAATTTAGAGCTGAATAAATATTTATCAGGAAAAATTTATGTATTTACTTACAGTGCATTTCGATAGTTGCGCGGCCTGAGAAGCATAAGAGGTATGCATAAGAGAACTACAGCCCCAGAGCCAATGATGAATATCGCCATTTTCAGTTTGTATGGAGCCTTTGAGGAAGCACTGAGGATGAGGGCCAACAAACAGGCTAGACCAATCATTTCGCACACGCAGGTCATTTTGCTAACTAAAAATAGAAGCAATTATAAACTATCTTAACGGTTTTTTTCGTTTCCATTATTATTTAAACTATGTATGTATGTACATAAGTACATAGTACGAGCAAGTCGGAGTAAAAGCAAGACTCCTACGAGCGGTGAAGAAAAAGCGACTGAAACTTTTCGAGCGTAAAAGCAAAACAAACATTTTTCAGCGAAAAATGAAAACGGAAAATTTCTGAGTAAAAATGAAATAACTTTTTGTCGATTTTTTGTTGTGAAGTATATGATGTTTCATTTATCCACTTAATTTGTTTGTGTTTTTTTTGCTCTGAAACTTTAAGGGCCTTATTCTGTATCACGAACGATAGGCAAGACGAACGATTCGTCTGCAGACGACAACCTCTCTGATTGCGATTTTAAACTCTATCGGTCGTCTTCGTCTCGCTTTTCATACATTACGTTGCAATGGTCTCGGTAGCGTTTAAACCGGCTAAAATGATGCCGCCGGACTAATTTTTGAAGCATTCCTCTGCAGACGAATCGTTCGTGTTGTCTATCGTTAGTGATACAGAATAAGGCTGTAAGTCCAGTTAGAGGTGCATAACCATAAAGCAGTGTTTGCATTGTTCAATTTTCACAGGCGAATCAAAAGTTGAACGAGAGTTGGCTGCCGACCAACTTCATTGAAAGCGATTTGTTGAAAGGCCTTTTGCACTATTCAACTTTCGCATTCAAAAAAAAGTTGAACAATGCAAACGCTGCTGAACGCCACAGCCATAACTTTGCCAAAACAGTAGTGGAATTCACTACGCTATTTTAAATACACTTGTTATCGTTAAGTCAACTAAACGACAAATTTATCGATTTATCGATTTAGTAAACGTTTTCGTAATAACATTCTTCTTCTTTTTTGGCGCTGTAACCGCCTAAGCGATTTTGGCCGAGTTCAGCAAAGCACGCCAGTCGTTTCTCCTCTGTGCCAACTGACGCCAATTGGAAACGCCAAGTGAAGCCAAGTCCTTCTCTACCTGATCTTTTTATCCCAGTGGGGGCCTCCCTCTTCCTCTGCTACCACCAGTGGGTTCCGAGTTGAATACTTTCAGAGCTGGAGCGTCGGTGTCCATTCGAACGACATGGCAAAGCCAGCGAAGCCGCTGTATTTTAATTCGCTGCACTATGTCCATGTCGTTGTAAAGCTCATACAGCTCATCGTTCCATCGTCTGCGGTACTCGCCGTCGCCAACGCGTAAAGGACCGTAAATCTTCCGCAAAATCTTTCTCTCAAACACCCCAAGAGCCGCCTCATCGGATGTTGTCATTGTCCATGCTTCTGCGCCATATACCAGCATGGGCATTATGAGTGACTTATAGAGCGTGGTTTTCGGACATCGAGATAGGACTTTACTCCTGAATTGCCTACTCAGTCCAAAGTAGCACTTGATGGCAAGAGTGATTCTGCGTTGGATTTCAATGCTGACATTATTATCGGTGCTGACATTATTATCGGGCTGGTTCCTAAGTAAACGAAATTCTCTACTTTCTCGAAATTGTAACTGTCAACAGTGACGTAGGTACCAAGGCGCGAATGTGCTGACTGTTTGTTTGATGACAGGAGATACTTCGTCTTGTCCTCGTTTACCACAGACCCATTCGCTTTGCTTCCCTATTCAACTTGGAAAAGGCAGAACCGACTTCGCGGTTTTTGTTACCGACGATGTCGATGTCATCGGCATAAGCCGTAACAACATTAGCTAGCGTAAAATTAGCTGTTGTTGTTAAGTTCATGACGTCTAGTTTGGTGTTGCTAGCAAAAATAAAAAGTTCTCCAGTACATGATTAAATAATAAATATAGTGAAAATATGTATTTTGAATACCTCGGTTATAATTTATCGGGACGTTTGCAGCAGTTAAACGTGTGGAGGGTAAATCGGCGTATGTTGCGAAGAGGGGACAACCCGTTTGAACTGGCCCCAACGGAGTTCCCGAAATTATACAGGCTAGGACCGAACTTGGCAGCCGATCTAGCTCAACGGTTGGAAATACATTTAAAAGTATCTAGAATAACTGCAATATCAGCTGAAAAGCAGGTCCGGCACTAGATCTTTAAGCTTAATGCAGTTTCTTATAACTAATCTTGTACTTTGGGCGGCTATGCCTCCTTTACGTTTTCATGACACTGGATGTTACCAGCGCCAGAACATTCTCCTCAGCACCTGCTCGTTATGTTGGGGGAACCATTGAGCGATCGAATGCACATATATTTCTATTTTGGTTTCGAAAAATTATGAGGAGGCATACGTTAATCACCATGGCTACCACTCATTGAATGTACAAATGGTAAGCAAATCCTTATGAAGAAAATGATTACATAATTACCACCGCGGCGTATACATATTTGGTATGGATATGCGACCCAAATTTGAAGATTTTAAACGTAAATGCAAAGTATCCGGGAGCACGACATGACTCCTATATTTGGAGCTCCTCTGCAGTGCGACAAGTCATGCAGCGAGCTTTTGCAAATGGAAACAGCAACATGTTTTTGATTGGTAATTCTTTTTGTTACTTTTGTTACAAACAACGAAAACGGCTATTTTTTTTTATATATATGTACATATGAGAACATATTGCATTGAACTGAATTTGATATAACTCGGCTTTGGAGCCACCTATCGAAAAAGCTAAAAGTTTTTGCACTCCTCCTCCGAAACACCTTTCCAACAAAGTAACAATCTTTCGAATCGGTTAAGAAACATAGGAGAAAATTGTTCCCAATTATTCATGCTTGCCTATTTATATATGGATATATGAGGACATATTGTAACTGTAAATCAACCGTCGTTGCGTGCGGACGTGTTTTTTATCGCTCTCGGTTTTCGAATATTTGCTAATGGGTTCCATAACTTTATTAGTGTCAAATAGATTACTAACACTTAATGAAGTTTTTTCTATGTTCGTGCATAATTTTTGAGACAGTGACTCTTGTATATTATAAGCAAATAACGAAAAAAGACGTTCCTATTAAAAATGCCTTGCTGCTGTAACCATAAAGTTGAGCGTTCGCAACCAAAGATCCAGTGCGCAAAGTGCAATGAACTATTTCATTTAGAATGTGTGAATATTTTGCCAGCAGACGCTGAGTTTCTGCTTAACTCAGAGAGGCCTTTTCGNGTGCAAGGTGTGTGCTGAAGCTCGGCGATATTCTATTCGCTCTCCGCCTCCTCCTGTTATTCTTAACGCGAGTGTTGTTGCTACTAATGCAATTGCTTCGGATTCCTCTAGCAAAGAAATCGGTGCCCATCGCAATAACAACCTCCCACAGCAGCACAAAATTCCTAAAAGTGCCTCGCCTAATCAACTAACTAGTACAGCAAGTGGGTCTATCGAAAATGCCAATAATAACCTTAATCTAAACTTAGTGCCGAAAGAGATTGCTACTCTTAGGGCAGAAAATGACCGCGCTGTCTCGCTAAAGTAAGTGATACCACCAGTGTTGCCGCGCCGTCTCAAGAAAATGTATCCCTGACCAAGCCAAAAATGTATCCAAATATATCCAATTTTCTTTTTTTACATATACATCTCATAATTTGTAAGAAAACCAAACATTTTCATGAAAAAGACATAATTTAACCCATCCTAAGGACTTGGAATACATGTGCATAAAATCAAACATTTGTAATTTCAATTTATAAAGTACATTTTTTGTGCATAAGTATTTTGCAAAGTAAATATAATAAATAGCAAGTACACTCTAAAAAGAGCATGTAAAACTACTACTGAAAAGTATCTATTTTTCAACAAGAATCTGTATAAATATACGTATAGGATGTTCAGTATTTGATTTTGAACTTGAGATCTTTAAAATATACACATAAATACACATATATAGAATGTTTAAAATTGCAAAAATTTTCAAACTACAAATACATTTCCTACTAATAATAAACATTACTTTATTTTAAACATTTTATGTGTAATTTTGCTCTTCCGACAAATTCGTTATGTAAAAGTAAACAGGCAATGATTAATTTTATTACACGGCATGCAAATTTGCACACATTAAAAGAGGAAACTGGTTACTTCTCTCAATATGCGCAAATAAACAAAATTTTTTTAGAGTGTATTTAAAGTCTTTTCAGTAAAATTCATAAAAGTTTCCTTAAATAAATCAAATTTAGTTTTTTAAACTACATTGAAATCTTCTTTCTTTTTAAATTAACAAATGAAAATATGTGATATGAAAGAGATTACTACAGAAAGAGTATAATTTACTTTATGTATATCGTCGTTTAAAGTACAAAACCGCGTATCGTTATTCTGCAAAACCGCGTAACTGACATTTGCTGCCGAAAATTGGATTTGCTCACGCAAGCTCTTGGCTCAATCCTTATCCATTCGTCCTGAAATATACTAGCCAGAAATACGATTGCTTTATAAAAAAGAGATCCATTTTGAAATATAAGTGTTTTTACTCTATAGAAAATAATTTATGCAACGTCACATACGCGGTTTTGCATTATCTTGATACGCGGTTTTGCATTTTGTTGATACGCGATTTTGTACTTTAAACCACGATATGTATATTAAGATCTTGCATAAAGTATCCTTTTAAGCTAATTAAAGCAATTGCGCTTATACCTATTTTGGTGAGATCTCTTCATATGTTCATTGCTTCGTTCACAAAAAATAAAATGCTTTAATTTCACGCTTAAGTAGCGATTCTTTATACGTGGATACCACTAGTGAGTCCAACAACAAGCAGCAGGTATCATTGGGTTCGATTTTCAATGCAATCGTCTCTCTACGTGCTGAGAATGCTCGTATGCATAATCCCATTTCAACTCTTCATGACTATAATCAGGCATGGGCAGAGAGTTAGCAGGTGCTAAAAGAGCGTAAGCGTTGCGTGTACGTATACAAGCGAGAGCGCATCGATGAGAACACGACAGCATGCTAAATGAATTAGGTACACTAACGCATGCTCACTTTTAGCTCACGCTTGTTTGTGGTAGTGCCCACCTCTGA